TATTGACAACATATCTGTTGAATTTGGAGGTAGACCTTTTCAACAAATTGTCGGCATTCCTATGGGAACGAACTGTGCGCCTCTCCTTGTCGACCTCTTTTTATTTTTATATGAGTCGGAGTTCCTTCAGACACTTGTCATAAACAAGAAGATCAAAGAAGCCAGATCATTTAATTTCACATTCAGATATATTGATGTTGTTCTTTCCATTAACAATCCAAACTTTTCTGATTGGATTCCATTAATATATCCTCCAGAACTAGATATTGAAGAAACAACAGACACGGCTTCCTCCGCCTCATTTTTAGACTTATACCTCGAAATTGACATAAGCGGTCATCTCAGTATCAGAATCTATGACAAACGAGACGATTTTGATTTTGAAATTGTCAATTTCCCCCAACTTAGTAGCAATATACCAACTTCGACTGCATTTAGGATATACATTTTCCAACTCATTCGGTATTCAAGAGCTTGCAGCTGCTACTCAGACTTTATAAAATGTTGCAAGTGTCTGAGCAGAAAGTTGTTGAACCAGGGTTATGTCAAAGAACGTCTCTTCCTTTTACTAAAAAAAGTTCATCGGAAGATACCAAGACCTTGTTGATAAATATTCCATATCAACTTCACAAATAATGCATGATGGTCTGTGAGTATAGATTATAGGTACTGACGTTGTTTGTCATCTTAATTACGTGTTATAGTTTTCTTTTATTTGTCTTTGTAAATTATTAACTTTTACTGTTTAGTCCATTTTTTTGGTAATATCCTTTTGGCGTGACTCGGTATCCCGCCATTGTGTTGTTGTGCTGTGATCTTTTTTTGTATGCCTGTCTTTCATTTTTGCTTATGTGCTTTGTTTATATGCCATTTTGTTTTTCTTTGTTGACATATTTGTTTGTTTTTATAATGATTAAGAGTATAACACAATGATGAATGCTGTTGCTGTTACCCCTATTTTTGACATTTATACCTATTATGTCTGTTTGTTTTGTTCACACATTGTTGTCAACATAATTGAATTTTATGCGAGTGTCATACAAGTGAGAGGTTTAGCTAGCTATAAAACCAGGTTTAATCCACCATTGTCTACATAAGGAAATGCCTTTACCAAGTCAGGAATATGACAGTTGTTTTCCGTTCGTTTCATGTGTTTGAGCTTTTGATTTTGCCATTTGATAAGGGACTTTCCGATTTGAATTTTCCTTGGAGTTCGGTATAATGGTTATTTTACTTCTTAATTCATCCTTTCTCTAAGTCAATGTATTTTGAAAGGGGCGTTAGCTACGATATACCAAAAAAAAATGTTTCAAACATTCATTAAAGCGGAATATTGAACTAATATGTCACTATAACCAGTCTGTTTTGTATAATTTTGTCAAAATAGGCTACAAAAAATCGCTGACATAGTTTTGGCTTGCAAGTCAATTATTCAACCTCATTTGAATCCGTATTCATGTAACCTTCAATTTCATCCTTAGATGGTTACGGGTTGCGCAAGTTCAGATATTGAAAAGAAACGAATTTCGTTGACTGATTCGTGCCACAAAAAAGCATCCTAATATCGGTAAAACGATGAGTTACACATTTTTTAAATGTATAACACGAAATCAAACAGACCTAGAAAATTCGTCATCATACTATTGCACGTGCTTGTCGGTCTTATAATGTTAATTTTTATGTTTTTATCGGGTCATATGACTATCGCCATTCTACGGAGGTCACTTCGATGGTTAATTAGATGGCGTCTAGTCTATAAAAAAAATGAAAACAACACGTCATAAATTTCATGCGTCCGAAGCGCTTTTCTGGATCTTCACCAGGAACGCTCAAAGCAGACTATTTGAAAGCCAAGGATTTATAAGAACCGGAACAGTTGTTTGGCATGAAATGCTGATACATTATAACGAGTCCATGCAATGTTAATCGTTTCTTTTGGACTTTTTGTAACTTGGATATACGTATTACTATGTTATAAATCAAATATCAGAATCTGAATCAAATCTTTGACAATGAATTTGACAGCCAACGCCCCATTAACTAAACAAACTATAAAAAGACTATTAGGAAAAAAACCTTGTAAAAAAATAGTAGCGCTTTTTACCATCAACCAGATAAAATTATATGAATGATGTAAATGTGCATTTGATTTGATATTATTATTATTATTTAGTTTTGATTTAGGTAAACATATTTAGAATAATTAACGAGTAAACGCTGAAACAAATGATCTAAAGAAATATCGATATATGTGACTTAATTATTCCTGCCAATCAAACCTTTTTGTCCTAGTTCAGTTTCCCTACAAAGGCATATGTAAAAAATAAACAGTGTGTCAAAGGGGCAACCAATAAATATTTGTCGGAGAAGGTCAGAGAACTTCAATAAAAATAAAGACGAACAGACAAACGTATAATAATCTTGCATAACATATTTCTAATATATTGTTATTTTAGACCGGTGATCTTTCATTTTTTTGTTTTAATCTTTGTCGTGATCATCGACATAAACCAGTCCTCAGAGAGTACATTCGATACAGGACACAATATTTGAGGCAGTACAAATCGGGACTACGTCTATTGTATCTTTTTGCGATCAAGTAACTTTGATAACGAAAATGCGAACATCATAGTTTTTTTTAAAGGTTTTACGTTTGCATTTAAAAATCAGATTAACTTTATCACCGAAAACGGTATTATGCATATATTAAAGCACTATTTTTTTTTATCAACAACATATTTGCTGAGTTTTGTGGATAGACAATTCTACAATACTTTTTTAACACCCCTACTGACTGTATTTTTGTACTTATATAAAGCAGAATTCATACAAAGGCAAAAAGGCAAAAAGAAAAAGCATCTAGCAAAACTCCTTAATTTCACTTTCAGGTATATCGAAGATGTGCTGTCACACAACAGGCGCAAACCCAGTTGAAATTAAACAAAGGAAATGGAACTCTTTGTTGGAGAAGGTCAAACAGGCCAAGTTTGTAAATTTGAATTGTTTACATCTGTTTCTATGGGCTTTAAAAGTTTAATGAATGTGCCTAATTTTGAATTTTATACGTCTTATGTATGTGTTTTAACTTAAATTATGGTATGAAGCTTCGAGATATTTGTAAAATTTTAAATTATAGACAAATTTTCACAAAACAGTCGATTGTGGTAGGTGCAAATACATGTGGATCTTTTTTTTCATAAGCATAAATTCCGCCGAAAAAAATACAAAGAAAGATAATAGATTGATCTTTTTAAAGCATTAATTTGCATCTCTGCCCCCGGCGAAAGTTTTTTGGGAAAAAATACCCAAAATGGGCAATAATTTCATCGAAAAGAAAAAGTTGAGTACACCTTTTTATGTTCAGGCGTGTTTGAGTTGACTATTCTGTCTTAAGCTTGAAAACGTATAAAAGAAAAATATTTGATACATCATCTCGCTTCATATTCTATTTTTTTTTATATATTTAGGCTCTAGGTTGATATAATAACATTAAAAATTTACAGTGCTAAAAATGAAATATATGGGTCAAGTGAAATACCTTTCTAATGAGTCATAACAACAGAGTAGGCGTGTTCGAATAACAAATTTTTACTAAAAGTACTTGACAGACTTTTCAAGTGGATCTTAAAAATGCATAACTTCGAAAAAACTTCATTTTTTGTGTGTATTATCTAGAGTAATTAGTCTTTATTTTTAGTCTGCCCTTCCAAGAAATATTCAATTAGATTTTTTTTTTAAATATTTTTGAACTTTCGATCAGACAATAGTTTTAAGTTGACCAAATGCATAAAAGTACATTAAATGATGCTCAATAGCTAGTAGATACATTTGTCTTTTAAAATACAACTGACATATAAGGATCGTAATGGTGTTATGTGGATAAATTTATTGGTTTTCAAGAGCTAAATTGACAGCGCGTCTTCACTACAATGGCTTCCAATTTTACGATAATAAAAATTCGGTTGCGTAATGGGGAGATAATTTTGACAAAGTAGAATCCTAACTGTCAATAACCCACATGTTTCCTAACTAAATATTGCAGTAGGTTTGAAATTATGATAACTTCTGAAACTTGAAAGTCTCCTTCATATTTGGATCTTTTTCTCGGTATTAACACAAATGGACGACTTCGGAAAATCTATGACTTTTTTTATTAAAATAATCGACGAAAAGGTCAAATCTTATCAAAAATATATGCTTTCATATTCTTAAACATAGTGACCATTTCAGGAATTTTCGTCGAATTTTTCCCGGGGGAACGTCGAATATAGAGCTTTCTGAAATCTGGTATCAAGCTTCATATTAGCCGCATACTATACCGTGTGATTTGTTTTGATTGGTCAGCAATAGCTCACACGTGTTAAATAATGGAAACTAAAAAGTGTTATTCATATTTTCATGTAAATATAGTTTGTTCCCTTAATAACTGATCTACAGGCAGATTTACAGGCAAAATGTTCTCTTTCCTAATAAACGACTCATCCTTGTTAGATACTGCCACCATTTTTCGAGACAAAGGCAACTTTAAAACCAATATATAGTTAGACTTGGGACCTCTATCTATAGAAAAAAATTAACAATGAGATTTTTATCAAAAATTTGAGAATATAAGAACTGAGAAAACTGACCACTATGGACGTCTGCTCTTGATTGAGGGAGATTGATAATTTTTACTTTCCATCCAATATAAGATTCGACACACACAACTAAAATAGAAAATTCAACGCTTTTATTAATCTTGATCGTTTTTTCTTAGCAGCAAAGACCTCGCATACGGTGTCTCTTGTCTATATATAAACCTGCAGTAAATATCACCAGTTCGTACATTACCTATAATGCCAAAATATTACAAAATATGATATATTCATCTTATCTCGAATTTATGACTACATAAAAAGGCATTGAATACAACTTACGTAATACATGTATACATACATTATATAAAAACTCGTCAGATATATAAATAGATATGCACATGATATGCAAGTTACGTGTTCAAACTTCCTTGAATTATCAACATAAACATTGGGGATTTTTTGGTTCAGGAAATTTACGTTGATATACGATTTGATGTTGGTGTGTGGATTTTCATTAAAGTCTATTTATTTTACTAATAAATGATAGACAAAACCTGTTTTTCATGTTTACAAAATATTTGAAACGACAAGAATATTGATTTGTAAGTAAACATACTCAACTTTCGTAATTTAAAAATGAATATTTATCGAATTTAAATAACTTCCGTCTTTACGTTAATTTCATGTATTGTATGTGCATGTTATATTTACTCTTATTTGTCGTTTTTTGTGAACATCGCATTTTATTTGCAGATCAACATATGTTGTTTACCTTTTAAATAACATCATCTTGTCACCACTAAATGCTAGTTCAAAGTGCCCTTTACCCACCCTCAGTGACGGTTATTACCACAAATATTCAAGTTGTATTTTTGGCAATTTATCAGTTTACTATAAAAAATACCAGGCTACAGTTTAACATGGTAAATCTAATGTAAGACTCTGGTGTTTCTGGTGTATGACGTAATCAGTTTTACTTATACATGTTATATGAAAATTAATACAAAAAGTTACCAGTCTGTTCTAAAAAATGTTCATCGGAAGATACTAAGACCTTGTTGATAAATATTCCGTATCAACTTCTCAAATAATGCATGATGGTCTTAAAGTATAGATTCTAGGTACTGACATTGTTTATCATCTTAATAACGTGTTATAGTGTTCTTTTTATCCGTTTTTGCATATTTTCAACTTTTACTGTTTAGTCCATTTGGTTTTGTAATATCCTTTTGGCGTGGCTCTGTATTTATACATTCCGTCATTGTGTTATTGTGCTATGGTCATTTTTTGTATTCTTGTCTTTCATTTTTGCTAAAATGCTTTGTCTATATACCATTTTGTTTTTCTTTGTTGACATAGTTGTTTGTTTTAAAGTGATTAAGATTATAACACAATGTTGACTGCTGTACCCGAATTTTTGACATTTTTACCTATTATGTCTGTTTGTTTTGCTCACACATTGTTGTCGATGTAATGAAAGGTTTAGCTAGCTATAAAACCAGGTTTAATTCACCACTTTCTACATAAGGAAATGCCTGTACTAAGTCGGGAATATGACAGTTGTTTTCCATTCGTTTGATGTGTTTCAGCTTTTGATTTTGCAATTTGATAAGGAACTTTCCGTTTTCAATTTTTCTTGGAATTTTAGTTATTTTACTTTTTGCATATAAAAGTTATTCTTATGTTGTGTTCTTTCAGTGATGTTTAGAATTATCAATATGGTCATGTGTTCACCTCAATATAGCTTGATATGAAAAGATTGAGTGTACACGTTTTATTCGGAGTCTTTGGTGTATGCGAGGTAAGTATAAATTTGATGTTTATCTTATATATAAAGGGGACTGCTTGATTCAGCATGAAGTTAGATTGATGAATATTATTTTGAAAATGTATCAGATTTTGTAGTTTAATCCCTGTATCATAATTGTAGGAATAGGATTTTATTTATTCATCACTTCACATGCTTTTTTTTTCTGTGCAAAGTAATACCAATTCCGAGTAATTATTTTCAAAATTATTATGATTTGAAGGACCTATGTATATTTTTTCAATATTGTCGCAAAATAGATACTTATAAACTGCTAGAACATGTACGAAGAAGGATTCATATAACCGAGTCTGAATATCGTAGAAAGTAAAATCACAAAAATACTGAACTCCGAGGAAAATTCAAAAAGGAAAGTCCCCAATCAAATGGCAAAATCAAAAAAACAAACACATCAAACGAATGGATAACAACTGTCATATTCCTGACTTGGTACAGGCATTTTCTTATGTAGAAAATGGTGGATTGAGTCTGGTTTTATAGCTAGCTAAACCTCTCACTTGTATGACAGTCGCATCAAATTCCATTATATTGACAACGATGCGTGAACAAAACAAACAGACACAATAGGTAAAAATGTCAAAAATAGGGGTACAGCAGTCAACATTGTGTTATCATCTTAATCACTATAAAAACAAACAAATGTAACGAAGAAGCAGAAACGTAGTTGTGTGGTATTAGACCTGCACACAAGTTAACTTCAACAAGACCGTTCAGATTGATTGATCAGACCTGCTTTAAATTTTACTTCTGATCTGCATTTCAATTAAGTAAACTTTTAATCGAAACCAATTTGTGTCGATTGATGACATATTTCTGTTTGTCATTGTTTATCGACATGCTGCATTCAAATTTAAATTGAATACAAATATTTTCTGAAGTTCCTTTTATAGAATAGAAAACATATTTTAGTTTGTCTGTTACAATCAATACCCGTCAATGTACTATCCAGTTCATTTTACCAATTAAGGAACAAAATATTTAGTCGTATAAATCTAAACTGTTTCCCCCAGAAGATAAAACTGATTGTTTTTATACATAGTTTATATTCGTGGAGTATCAAATGTTGCAGAAATCTTTTTTTGAATATTTTTACTGGACAAGAAGCTAATGCCATCTCTAATAACATACAATCACCTAATATAACCTAGATTGCTATCGAAATTAAAAAATTAAGGCATAATAGTGAATATTTTCAGAATCAACTCAAGGCTTAATTTACTTTGTAATCTCAGTTCCTCTATTATACACTGTTAATTACAATTTCATTTGAAGGTAATAGTATCTCCTTTTTCTGTCTCCCTCACAAAGGAACTCAAATAATCAGATTGTTTTGTTATCATACGCTTTCCTTCATATAGGCAGGTCTGATATAAAATGTAACGTTTTTTGTAGACTTAAATATGAGAATAGAGGAGTTCATTTAATCATTTTATCAAATATATTGAATGGTTACAATTAAAAAAAGTGTGCCTCCCTACCACGATGATACTCATTTACCAATCATATCTGACACCTAAAGAGGAATATCGTAAATATACATCTATTACTGTAAACGTTGGTACTAAAAACATCACAACAATCCTAGTTTTTGAGGTGTCTGTTATAACATTTATAGTTTCCATACTCTGTACACATACCACACAATTTTATCAATTCCCCCCCTTTTTTTTTAAGTAAAAAGGTCTTTTGATCAATCTGGCAAAAACTATGTCTTTTGTTGTCGTTACAATTCTTTTATCGGTAATGAAACTATCTAAAATATTTTAGTACAATAATCTTTCGATCAATCTGGATGAAATTGTATCTTTTGCAGTCGTTACAAATCATTTTCGGTAATAAATTCACTTTTTATAAATGTAAAAATCAACTTATCCAAGCTCATTTCATTCTTCCCATTTCAAACTTCATTACTGACCGATGTCCTTTATTAAAATTGCCTGTGGTTATTTTCTAGTGATTGATGCTGGTGTTCCCTTAGTTCCTCCTTTTAAATTCAATATGCATTTTTTTAGTGACGACATGAAAAAACGTTGGTTAAAGCTTTGATAACGTGTTATCAAATATATAGATATTTGTTGTGAAAGTATGATGCTACCTGCAAGACTTTAATCAAAAGTGGGTATTTCGCATCCAGCTTTTTATGGTTATATTACTCAAGTCATAAAGCTAACAAGTTGACGAATTTTCCTTCACTTATTTATAGTTTCAGTATTACTGAATTAATCTTTCTTTTGCTTGACTAGATTGCAATTCTTTAGTTTATTTTTAGCATTCCACATTCCCGTGTCCTTTTTAATTATACATATCATTGATGTACTGCATATTCTATAAAGTCGAAGAAGATACATTTAAGTGTAGTACGGTTTGGTTTTGTATCAGTAGATTACATATAGCTTGCTTTTAGTAACTTTAATCTTTCTTTGATACGATTAAATACTGTTTATTTTTTTTCTACATTAAAAAATAAGGTTCTTTTATGTAAACCGTGTGTTCGTTCAATGATCGAATAAAAAAATCGTTTAACCTGCCACGTCTTAAGTAAGGAACCTTGTCGGTCGGATGTTGTCTCATGTGCATTGTTTTTTTGATGTCAAATCTTTGATAGTTTCTGTTGCATGTATTCCAATCTTTTATAAACTGTGGTCTTTCTGAAGCTTTTGCAGACAACTGACGATTGTTGGTGACTGTCGTTTGCCATCTGGTTTATTTGGATTATTTGTGTTGCTGTCACATTGACGCATTCCAAAATTCCCTTTAATTCATACTGTTGTGATAGTGTTTCAAAATAATTAAAGATACGTCCGTTTTTTACGCTGGTATTCAACTGGTTAGAGGAGATTGACCATTTACAAACATGTTTAATAAAATTGAGAATGGAAATGGGGAATGTGTCAAAGAGACAACAACCCGACCATAGAACAGGCAACAGCAGAAGGTCACCAACAGGTCTTCAATGCAGCGAGAAATTCCCGCACCCGGAGGCGTCCTTCAGCTGGCCCCTAAACAAATATATATACTAGTTCAGTGATAATGAACGCCATACTAAACTCCAAATTGTACACAAGAAACTAAAATTAAAAATAATACAAGACTAACAAAGGCTAGAGGCTCCTGACTTGGGACAGGCGCAAAAATGCGGCGGGGTTAAACATGTTTATGAGATCTCAACCCTCCCCCTATACCTCTAGCCAATGTAGAAAAGTAAACGCATAACAATACGCACATTAAAATTCAGTTCAAGAGAAGTCCGAGTCTGATGTCAGAAGATGTAACCAAAGAAAATAAACAAAATGACAATAATACATAAATAACAACAGACTACTAGCAGTTAACTGACATGCCAGCTTCAGACTTCAATTAAACTGATTGAAAGATTATGTCTTCATCATATGAATATCAGGCACAATCCTTAACCTCACCATATTCAAGTTCAGTGTTTGTCGTTGGTTGGAATTTTTAATTTTCTTTATACTTAAGCTTCAATCAGGTCGTTAGATTTTTTTTAATAGTTTTGCTTTTCCCCCGGAGTCTTTTATAGCTCACTCTACGGAATAGGTTTTGCTCATTTTGAAAGCCGTTAAGTGACCTGTGGTTGTTTAAATCCTTCTCCTTTTGGTATTTGGTGGATATTTGGCCGAATTACAACGATATCAATAGTTGAAGTGTTTTGTTATCTTAAAGGGTTAATTTTGACCGAGAAAATTTGTGTTCTCTTTAAATATTTAAGAATCATCTCTAGAATATGGATTATTCTATTAACTTCAGCGTTTCAGACCAAAACTTATTCTTAAACCTTTATTTTTTTTTAGTTTAATGTGTTTCCTCGTCTTCTTTTAAAAACTTCGCTACCACCACAAACGTTAACGCCGCTACAAAAACTACGAAAATCTCCAACGAGTAAAATGAGCACAATATAAAATAATCATATATATATAGACTGGTATTTAATTTTAACTTACTCATTTAATCGATCTGAAGCAGCAGCGTAAAAAAGAACTAAATGAAAATAACACTTTGTCAATTTTGTGCGTCCAAAGCGCTTTTATGAATGTACCTTCACCAGGAACGCTCAAACCCATACAAAGAGTTCAGTCTTGCAGTGCACAAATATTTATCAGCAACGGTTATATATCCTACCTTCTCGAACATCAGCAATCATAACCCGTTAAAATATTAGCTTTTAAACTTATTAAAAAGCGAGACATTTCCTTTTACAAAAGGTTCGACGAATATGCGTACTAAGGACGAGATCAGACGAGGAGCACAGATTCGAGCTATAGATATTTTGCAGTTAGTCCGATGAATCAATGAAACATATAAAGCGTGGGGAAAAAGAGTTAATGCCTTTCTTTTTTTAACCGAAAAAGAGAGTACGCCTATCGAACGAGTGCTAAATTTGCATAGGCCGCAGCAAACGAAATACTTCACAGAAACCTAGAAATGGAATAATACAAACCAAAATTAGGGGAACTCATGTGCTTCGCAAAGGTGTGCAGTTCCTGTTTCACTATAGAGGCACTCGTCGAGTTGATTGTAACAAGACAAAATCCAGTGATAATTCGTATTTTACCATGATGATATAGACGAGGAAATGGATGGTAGTGTATCCAAGTAGTGGAATATATCATGAATCACTACTGAAAGTCCATAATGGTCAATCAAATAACTGTTGTTTGTTTTTTGGTTTCTTGGGTTTTTTTTTTTTTTTTTTTTTGGTTTTTTTTTTAGCTTTTTCTTGTTTTTGTTTTTGTTTTTTGCTCAACCAAATCATTATGGTGTTCATAAAACCTTCGAATGGACGAATAGTAGGAAATGATTACACTTGTCTATTGATGAATACGAGCAAATTAAATTTATTTCAAGTGTTACCTTTAAAATGCTTTTTATGCATTTACCTTTTTTGCAAAACACCTCTCTTATCTCATATGGAAATTTCTAATTAGGAACAAAGCAAACAAACAAAAAAGACGAAAAGTTAAAACAGAAATGCTTCATAAAGAGAAGATTGTAAGTCATATTTTTTGGTTTTACAGATTTTTTTTATTCAGATTACAAATGCAAATTATAGCACTAATTGTCCAGATAGATCACAGTGGAGAATAAACGCAAAAGAAAAATGTAATAATACAGAAGAGTATCATTGCCTTTACAATCAAGTAGATGAAGAATACATTGAACTGTGTAGACCCGCAAAGGAATTCGTGAAAGGTACATTTTAGAATAATATAAAGTCTGAATAAATTTTTAAAAGAATCAAGTAATTGTTAACCTCTTTCTAAGACAAATTATTAATGTTCGATTCATACTTTGAACCTATAAATCGTAGTAAATTTAGTAGAAGACACAACTTTAGAATGTTTTCGTTTATAAAGTAAGTATTGGGACGTAGTTACTCTCGTCTACTGGGATGAAAACTGTTTTAAGACCACTATATGTATTTTTGTGTGTGTGTCGTTTGGTTGTCTCATTGATGTGAACTCAACATCTGCAAACATTCAATTGTACAGCAACTAATTATAAGAAAAAAACCTTCCACATCTTAAAACACATATAATAACAATAAAGGAAAAAACAGATAGTATTTCAATCTTAAACGTATTTGTTGATTTAGATGGGGAATAAAAATTAAATATCTGCTCAGAAATGATAGACCATACTAAGAATTAAAGTGATACAGATGAAACCATATCTAAATAATGAAACAGTGTAAGAGCCTTGGGTTTCAGTAATAAATATGATATAGCGTATAGTGGACCCCAAACTAGTAAAGACTGTCACGAATGATTGTACCATTGACTAGTACTTCATTTTTGCAGAATAAAAGATTTTGCGAATACATCAATGTGTTAAAAACAATAAAACAAAAAACAACTTAAGTCATATTAAAAATAAAATAACAAAAATACCAAACTCCAAGGAAAATAAAAATCGGAAAGTCCCTTATCAAATGGCAAAATCAAAAGCTCAAACACATCAAACGAATGGAAAACAACTGTCATATTCCTGACGTGGTAGAGGCATTTCCTTGTGTAGAAAATGGTTGATTAAACCTGGTTTTAAAGCTAGCTAGACCTCTCACTTGTATAACAGTCGAATAAACTTCCATTATATTGACAACAATGTGTGAACAAAACAAACAGATCCAATAGGTAAAAATGTCAAAAATAGGGGTACAGTAGTCAACATTGTGTTATAATCTTAATCACTATAAAAACAAACAAATATTTCAACAAAGAAAAACAAAATGGCATATAGACAAAGCACGTTAGCAAAAATGAAAGACAAGACACACAATAAAAGAACATAGCACAATAACACAACGGCGGGATGTATAAGTACCGAGCCACGCCAAAAGGATACTACCAAAAATGGAATAAACAGTAAAAATGAATAATTTATAAAGACAAATAAAAGAAAACTATAACACTTTATTAAGATGATAAACAGTACTCAGAATCTATACGTCAAGACCCTCATGTATTATTTTTGAAGTTGAAACGGAATATTTATCAAACAAGATCTTGGTATCTTCCGATGAACTTTTTTAGAAAACGGTCGAGATGTTCTTTGACATAACTTTGGTTCACGAACTTCCAGCTCAGACACTGGTGACGTTTTATAAAGTCTGAGTAGCAGCTGCAAGCTCTTGAATACCAAATGAGTTGGCAAATGTATATCCCATATATATGTATAAAAGTCACACAAACAGTGTTATAAATAGTGTATATACACTATATCAAGCTCTAAATCGGCCGTTTTTAGAAAGCTCTGCCAAGACCCAAAATGAAAAATATTGAAATTAAAAGTAAAGACAGAAACTGACGTGAATTCTGACTCGGGACAAGCATATTTACATAAGAGGGGATAAAACTATTTCTTTTGTAAATGTTTAGACTTTACTACATGTATCATATACATAGAATAAAACAATTATTCTTAAAAAGTGCAACCATTTATCTTTTACCAATTTACATCTATAATATTACAATTTTTGAGATGTTTGTAGGCCGTAAAGTAGTTTATGCTGGTACAAATTTTGATGTTCCACGTTGTGCGGCTTCAACATTTATGCCTGTTAACGTTATATCAAATATGGGACATGAGTGTGTACTACAAAAGTCAATATGTAGCGAAGAAGGTCAACTTCTATATGAAAACAGATCAACAGCACAGGATTCTGTTTGTATATGTAACTTCCTAAATGGTTATGCAAATGTGAATGATAATTTGAGCAACCTTTGTTATTGCAATCCCTCTGAGGAAGACTGTTCTTGTTACAAGAAGCCTTTTCCTGATGACAACCCTTTGATTTCTGCAGGTAAAAACTGTTGCAAAATGGTAGATATGATTATATTTCAACTGCTTGCGTTATTACATCCCTGTAACACTTTAGGTGAAGTGAATATATGAATGATAATTACCGGTGTGATTTTGCTTTCTCTCATAACATGCAAGTATTCTTTAATTCAATAATCCTATGAAGTGTTTTTGACGTCCTTTATCGTATCGTGTTGTCATGGCTTCTGATTATAACGCTTCGTCCAGATAAATAAACACAAACTTATGTCTATATAAAAATAAGGAGATGTGGTACGATATCCAATGAGACAACTATCAATCAGAGTCCGAATTATGTTGATGTTAGCAACTATAAGTCATCGTACGGTCTTCAACAATGAGTAAAACACAAACCATATAGTCAGCTATAAAAGGGTCCGACATGACAAAATATGAAACAATTAAAATGAGAAAACCATAAACGGAAAACAAATATGACATACAGTAACCAATGATAACCGCTGTATTCCAGGCTCTTGACTTGGGACAGGCACATAAAAATGTGGTGGGGTTAAACTATTAAAAAATCAGTTAGAAATGGCTTGACTCGTCAGATTAGCACAAAGAACAAACAAAAATAACATAGAGAAAACAATATACCAGGTGTATTACCTTGTACGCCAGACGCGCGTTGTGTCTACAAAAGACACATCGTACCGATCTAAGAGTACTCGCAGTTACTGATCATAACATGATTCATAAACGGTGAGAAAATCATAAGTTTGTGCAGTGTTAAAAAAGAACCTAGTATTGACAAGATGTATGACCAAAAGTTTATAGCAGTACATAGTTATGTTTGAATTTATCAAAACACGAAATAAATGATAGTATCGATACAAACAATATTCAAAGATCTTACTACGGTTTTAATTTGATAATCTTTAAGAATAGCATTCAAATGTTTACCAAACTATAACAAATAGAAACATCAGGTTATAAGATCAAGCAAAATTTAACTCTTAGCAGTCAATAGAAGTGGCAGTCTGTATCACAATGCTCCCTTATAAAAGTCTATCCAAATTCAAAAGTTAAAAAAAACACAAAAAATGAACACTTAAGCATACTGGTAAAACATCAGATATTATATTCAAGCAGATGGAATATATATTAAAGGACACAGAAACCCCGGAGATTAAGGTGAATAATTCATGTAATATGGATTTCAAAATGTCATGGCTATAAATGAATTAATGAATACTTAGTTCTTATAAAATATAACATAAGATTCCGACTCCTTCATGCTAAGTTGACCTTCGATGGATTTGGCTATTATTTTTGGCATAAGAGATTTGAGATAGCTCCATTTAAAGAAAATGAGTTTGCAGTTAATATCAGACATCATCCCAAGATTATAGCTTTTAAAGGCTGTTAGCTTTAAATTCAGGGCCAAAACCAATCTTTGAGAGCATTCATGTACTTTTAATATCTAAACCTATCTGTTTATCACCTGCACGATGTGTTCAGCTTTTAACATAATGTAGTGTTATAATGAGTTATCTTGCTCAAACTTCTATTTCAACTTCCCCTGTTTAGATGTCGACAAGCACTGTCAGGCTAACGGAAAGAGTATATAAAAAAGGACATGTAATAAATAGAATGTCATTTATAACTAAACTCATCAAAGATACCAGGCTTAAATATTTATACGCCAGAAGCGCGTTTTGTCTACAAAAGACTTATCTTTGATGCTCGAGTAAAAAAAATTAAAAGGCCGAATAAAGTACGAATTTGAAGTGCATTGACGACCAAAAATTCCAAAATTGCCAAATACAGCTAAGGCAATATTTTCCTGGGGTAGAAAATGTTTAGTATTTCGAATAGTTCAAAGGTTTGTAAACAGCTAATTTTCAAATATGACCATATCAATGATAAATCATGTAAACACTGACGTTATAAAATTTAAAATATAAAAATTCAAAATATCATTTAACTTAAATATGTTACCCATAATTTACCTGTGCATGTGAGGATTAGCACACAATTTAGCCCAAATGTTGACTTGCCATTGGCTCAAACGTGACATTTTTTAGCAAATTGTTACATTAATTAGCCCAAACGTGCATCTCCCATTAGTTAAAGATGCTTTTTGATTATATAGCTCTGTTTCGATACCTATGCATCCTTGCCTTTCAAATATTTGCCTTTGAGCGTGTCTGATGCAGGTAAATAAGAAAGTTTTATTTTCAATAGTATTGCACTGTGTAGATACCTCTGCTGGCGGACTTTTAGTCTCAAAGGATGTTATCATCTCAGTAGTCAGTGCTTTGGTACTTACATGATTTATAACATTAATTTCTTTAATTTTCCGTTTATAAATTAAGAAATTATTAAACGGGCATTAGCTGTCAAATTCATGCTCACCGATTTGTTTGAAGTTCTCATATTTGATTTATAACATACTAAAACGTATATCAAAATATCAAAAAGTATGAAATAAACATTTTACGATGCATGGAATCGATAATATGTATCAACATTTCGTGTGTATTTTACTCTAGACGCCATCTAATTAACTATCGGGATGACCTCCGAAGACTGCCGACGGTCATATCACCCGATATAAACATAAATATAGATATAAATCGATAGCGAACGCGTGCAATTTGATTTTTCTAGGTCTGTTTGATTTCATATAGGTTAAAAAAAATATGTTAATCATCGTTTTTACCTGTATAAGAATGAGTTTTAGTGGATAGAATCAGTCAACCAAATGATTTACCCTTGTTTCACTTTCAATGTTGACATTCTTTTCCTTTAAATAGCTGAATAGGCCTTGTTCATGCGTAACTCATCTCTAGCTAAGGGTTTAAATTGAAGGTCACATGAATACGGATTCAATGAGGTTGAATTATTCACTTGCAAGTGAATTATTCATCAGCGATATTTCTTAGCTGATTTTGACAAAACTGAAACAAACTGGCTGCTAAAAGCGAATTATTATTTCACTATTTCGATTTCATTACTGATTGACAAATAAAAATCATATTTGATTTTTTTTTTTTATATATCTCGTAGCTAATGCCCCATTAAGAAACTAAGTTTCCAACTCCCTTAGGCTAGGTTGACCTTAGATGAATTTGGCTATTATTTTTAGGTCCCTTTTGGTCATTAAACTCTGCATGTGTCTCGGTTCTTATGAATCTTTGGCTTTTAATTATTTAGATATTAGTGTTCCTGATGAAGGTAAATCCAGAAAAGCGCTTCGGACGCATAACATTTATAAAGTGTCAATTTCATTTTTACAAACATGTATGAATATATATAAAAGAACTGACTTCCTCGTTTATTTTTCAATAATAAGCTTTCAGATCTAATTTATTGGAAGAGTTACATAATTAATTAAGGTATTTGAGTTTGAACAATAATGATGAGATATTTTGTCTTTCGGTTTTAAATGCATTACACGACATAATGTGTGGTTCCCGATGTCGTATTATTCACAAAGGTGTCACGTTCTTTCGTATATAGCCAGTACTTCGGTACTGGCATGAAAATACGGATTTTGTGTTATTTAAATTTGCCGTTACAAAATTTCGAAAATGATATGAAATTCAGGCATATATCTCCCTCACGCAAAGCTCTGATTCTTTGTCCGAATTTGGTTATACTTTTTTGTCAATTTTGGTTAATAAGCTCTTCATATTTTTAATAAGCTTGTGATTTTCAAATATTTTAGCCCCGAGCATCACTGAAGAGTCACTTATTGTCGAAATGTGCTTCTGGTGCAGAAAAATTGGTACCGTTAATATTATAGATCAATTATACCTACCTATGCTAATTGCCAAGCGGTAATTTACTTAATATACAACAAAATACAATATGTTAAGGTGCAGACGAAAAACAAATATTTTTCAAGGTTGAAACCTTGTTTTAACGCAGCTCCCGCTTTTTAAACACCATTTATTCGATAATATTATTTGACGAACATCTAAAAAAAATCAATATAGTTAAGAATACGCAAATTTGAAATCTTGTTTTAAAAATTTTATAGCAGATGATTTTTTGCTTTATTTGCAATAAATGACCCTTCTGATATAAGTTGCAGTTCCACACTTTTAAACAAATCGATCTGAGGATATTATATGAGGAACAACTGAAAAGTCACAATTGTTAATAACAAGCAGTTGCACCAAAATATACCTATTTTGGTAATATTGAAAAGTGCTGCAAGAATAAAATGGTATTTAAAGAAGGCGTCTTGTCATTCGTTGCTAAAATAATTCTGCAGAAAAACAACTTTCATCAGGATATCCCAAGGCAAATACATATTGTGCCAGATATGACTATTAAAAGTCCCATAACTCTGGAAATTTTCAGAATCAAAAGAATGTCTACATTCACTTATCCCAACAACAATATACAGTTTGTAGGTTTGTAGTAATTTGACCCAAGCAAACTAGGGCTAGAACATAACATGTAAAAAATTGCCTTTTACCAATCTGGGGACTAAAGTTCCTTAACTCTGGAAAGACAAATCAGATTTTTTAAAGTCAAATGTATCTTCCTTTCTCCAATTCAAACAATTATGTTAAAGTATCAAGTGAATCAATCCAATCATACTCAAGTTATGGAACAATATATGAAAAGTTTACTTTGTTCTGACAGTAAACGTCCCGAATCTCTGGAGCGACGAAAAATAAGATTTTCATGCTTCATGTCATCAACCCAAACAATAATGTTAAGTTAGGAGGAAATCAATCAAATATACTGGAGTAGGTGTACGATATAAAAAAAATGGTCTTAAGTTCGAGGGTTAAAGTCACGTAACTCTGGAACGACACAACCAAAACTCGAAAGGAAGCTTTCGTCTCTTTTTTTATGTTGTGTTAAAATTTCATGAAACCAATTTGGCTAAAAGTGTTGGACGGTAAATCGGAAATCTTACCGTCTGACCGGCTGTATAAAAATTATTTCAATGCAAGTCTTTCACATTGCTTCAAAAGCATAATTATATAATGACGCAATATTTTTTTTGGATATTTATTATTCTGGTCAAAAACGTTATTATGCGCATTTGTATTAAAAGTAAGATTTTTATTAAGTCTCAAAAGATAAAATTTGGAGTTGACTGTTTTAAATGTAAATTACCAACAGGCGTCATTTTTGAAAACCCAATGAAAATAAAAAGCAAAATGGCTTAAATCAAATGAGAAATCTAGGTTTAATTTCAAAGTAAATTTTAGTGCGTAGCTGAATTATGTTGGTAGTGAGAGTTGTAAACATACCAAAATAATGAATTATATCTGTCTTTTTTCCTTTATAAGGTCTAATTATATAATATGTGAAAATTTTGAAAAAAGTTATATCGGAATGTAATATAAAGCTATTCAACTGAAAATTAGATCAGCAGTTCTCAAAATTAAGGGACACTTTTCTTTTGTTTGCTTTAGTCATTATGTTACACATTTATATCAGAAAAAGTAAGCAAGATGGAAATACTCATAGATCATGTAAAAAACGATCAATTATTGTTTAAGAAGACCAAATTCACGTATCCCATTATTGTAATAAAGAAATAGAACATTACGGGAAAGACACATAATAAGTACATGAAGGAATATACTTTTCATATTCGGTTTAATATGCTTACTTATGCTTCAAACTAAATATCAGAAAAAATCCGTCCAGAATTAATAAAATTGAGAATGGAAATGGGGAAGATGTCAAAGAGACAACAACCCGAACATAGAGCAGATAACAGCCGAAGGCCACCAATGGGTCTTCAACGCAGCGAGAAAATCCCACCCGGAGGTGGTCCTCAGCTAACCCCTAAATAAAAATGTGTACTAGTTCAGTGAAAATGGACGTCATACTAAACTCCAAAACATATAAATAAACTAAAATTAAAAAACATACAAGACTAACAAAGGCCAGAGCCTACTGACTTGGGACAGGCGCAAAAATGCGGCGGGGTTAAACATGTTTTGTGAGATCTCAACCCTCCCCCTATACCTCTAGCAAATGTAGAATAAAGAAACACATAGCAATACGCACAATAAAACTCAGTTTAAAAGAAGTCCGAGTCCGATGTCAGAATAGATAACAAAAGAAACTAAGCAAAAGGACAATGGTACATAAATTAACAAAGGACTACTAGTAGTTACTGACATGCCAGCTCCAGACCTCAATTAAACTGATTGAAAGATTATGTCTTCATCATATGAAAATCAAGTACAATCCCTGCCGTTAGGGGTTTAGTATCATACCATCATAAAATATATGAAAAGAACATAACCCGTATCATGACAACTACTGGTTTTAGAATAAATGTGTTTATTTCCGATGCAAAGACCCTATGAGTGAATCAATATAATTACCAAAATATGCAATCCTTAATGACCTGACAACAGTATCGTAACTATATCCCTTCCGAATAAGTCTGTTTAAAGATTTGGTTAGCTTTTGAGGTGAATGCCGACATTTTTGTGCTTTGTAAAGAATATTACCATAAAAGATTGGATGTGAAATATCTGAACGTATAAGATGTCTGCATGTTGATTTATATTTACGAATGATGTCCTTGTACCGATGATAAAATTAAGTTAATGTTTTGACTAGTTTCTGATATCAAAAACCCTGGTGTAATAATTTTTCAGTTATACAGAGATTTCTTTCGTTAAAATCAAATACGTTGTTACATACACGAGCGAATCGAACAAGTTGAGATATATAAACACCATAAGATGGTGACAAGGGAACGTCACCATCAAAAAATGGATAATTAACAATAGGAAATGAAAAATCATCTCTTTTTTCATAAATTTTGGTATTAAGCTTCTCGTTAAAGATATAGATATCAAGATCCAGGAAAGGGCAGTGTTCATTGTTAGTATTATCTTTATTTAAAGTCAGTTCGACAGTATAAATCTCTTAAGTGTACATACTGAAGTCGTCATTATTGAGAGCCAATATATCATCTAAAAATCTAAAAGTGTTATTAAATTTTTGAATCAGATGTTGTTACGATGGGTCTTTGCTGATTTGAGTCATAATTTGTAACTCATAACAATACAGAAACAGGTTCACAATAAGTGGTGCACAGTTAGTCCCCATGGGAATTCCGATAACCTGACGATAAACGGAATCTCCATACCGAACAAAAATGTTATCTAGTAAAAATTCAAGGGCAGTTATAGTATCAAAGCAGGTCCAATTGACATAGTTCTTTTGTTTGTTGTTACTAAAAAAGGACCTAAAAGAGTTTGAACATATTACACACATAAGCTGTGTACCAAGATTGCATTTAATCTTTCCCTTCAAAAAATATACTTTATCCACAGAACAAAACTTCCAGCTTGCACAAATAGTGAAAGCATATATCTTAAGTGTAAATTTAATCCTAAACTTAAGACAATGCAATAAAAAAAACATAAAAAATACCAGGCTTTTAATTTTGTACGCCAGACGCGCGTTTCTTCTACAAAAGACTCATCAGTGACGCTCGAATAAAACCAATTAAATGATCAAATAAAGTACAAGGTTGGGGAGCATTGAGGACCTAAAATTCGGGAATATAGTGGTATTTAGATATTCCCTTAGGTTATTTAAAACCAGTTTAAGGAATCCGAGTTTTGCACGAGGGAGATATATTCCTAAATGATTTCCAAAATTTTATAGCAGCAAATGTCATTCAAACAATATCCGTATTTTTATGCAAATACCGAAATACTGGTTACTAGGCTGGCGGGGACTAAAAGTCCACCCGCAGAGGTATCGACCCAGTCTTTTCAATAAGGCTCGAGGCCAAACTTACACGCTGCAACAAAAATTTCGAACAGAGAGAAGTGAAGGATTTGATTTTACACTGATTGTATAATATAGAAAAAATCATTTAAGAAAAACTTTTTTCTGATTGATTTTAAACTAAAGGTACATTTACATTAAAAATAATGCATTATATAATCAATTCATTATGTATTTCAACTAAGGAACAACATTTATAAATTGATAATATTTTTTTTCTTAAAGGTGATAAATGCATTTTGAAGAATGAGACTGTAGATGGAATTCAACGCAAAATTCCCATTATCAGGTAAGATAGGCAAGTTATTTTAATAACTATTTTTATGCAGACAACGGACACCATTAATTTGTTTCGAAATTTACATTTTCCTAATTCATTTTGGTCGGATTATGCAGTTATCTGTTTTGAAACAACGTATGTTCTGTGACGTCTTTATTATACAAATGAACAGATAAGCGATGAACGAACACACCAAAATGAAACCGAACTTTTCTATTACCATCTCAACAATCATTTACGAATAATATCTCAGTAGTTTGGACTTTTGATGTAAACATTTGTAAATAATTTGGTCATGATATGTTTCGACTGTGTTTATTTCATTGAATCAGCTGACGACGTTTTCTCGTTTAGTCTACCTTTACTTTGCAATTGTTTACAAGTTAAGAGCACGTATGGACAACATTTATTGACGAGAAATTGTAATAACATTCTGGTTTGACCGTTCAAATGTTAAAAACCTATCTTTTGTCATATCTAAAAAATTAATAAACATTCTCTGTCTACATGTTTGTTGCAAATATATATATATATATGTTCATAAAGTCAATTTTGTTAAACAAATTATGTATAGGTGAGATCTTCTAAAGCCAGAAAATTAAAGGAAGCTGTCTTATTTAACTTTATGTAATGTCATCTAAGGGAAACATTTAACTTAAAAACAACATCATCAAAGTGATAAATTTTTGTTATCAACAAAATATTGTTAACGTTACATGAACGTGTTTTTCAACAGACAGTTGGTATTCCTATATGTAGCAACTGTGCTCCCTTTCATGCAGAATCATACATGAGCTTCCAAAGCATAATGAAAAGAAGATAGCATTAACCGTTTTGTTGCGCTGTTAAGATTATGTTCCCTCATTGAATAATTTCAAATTTGGTTACTGCTTGGGTCGCATTATCCCAATGAACATGTAATAAAGTATACCAGTTATGTTATACAGTTTAATCTGCAGGTATATAGACTTGAATAAATTAAAATTGAGGGTCGGGTGAGAATTAAACTCTACGACAGAAGAGATGATTTCGATTTACCCATTGTGAGCATTTCATATCTATGTAGCAATATTCCAGCAGCGCCTGGTAATAAAGCATACATTTGTGCCTGCTGATACGATGATCTAGGACTTGCATTTCTTATCATGTTTTTTTAATAGAGGAAGACTTTGTGAAAATTGGTGACAACTAAACAAATCTAAATCAATCTGTAATCAACTGATATACTATCATAAAACAATATCAAAGAACACTGTACTTAAGTGATCATGTTAAAGCACTCGATATTATTTATAATTAAAATTTATATTATTTTTGAAGTTTTGAATAATTTTTTTATCATACCTTCTTTTGCTAACTGGTTTGTTTTTACATCTGTTGCAATGTCAAACAAGAAACAAACCATATATGTAAAATAAAACCGAGGAATAACAAATCTGCAAAACAAAGTAAGTGAAATAAATCTGGAACGCTCAAAAACATAGAAGCCAAGGATGTTTAAATATCAAAAATAAAATATTATTTTCATCCAAAATTATCATGTCAAACTGTAGCTAACTATATGGAATGGGTTTTGTTGATTGTTGAAGGATGGATGGCGACTGATAGGTAGAACATAGGACCATCAAACAAATATTAATAACTGTAATCATATAAAAGTCTTTTTTTTTTCTACAAAACAAGATTTATAACATTCATAAAAAATTCTGAAAGTGACCCACTATGTAACATAATATAATAATAATAATTATAATAATAATAATTATTATAATAATCATAATAATAATAATAATTATAATAATAATAATTATCATATTAATAATACTACTAAAAGTAATGTTATGTAAATGAGTGAAAAAAAATAGTTATTTGAATTTTTTTCAGGTGTGACACATTATATAACAGCACAACAAATCTTCCTTTTATCAAAGAAATTATAACTGAGGATTTAAGTGTACAGGATCGAATATTACAAATATTGACGGGTATGGCTTATATGTTGTGATCACGCATAATTGATGGCGGAGTAACTTGACTTCTTCTAAGGAAATCCTTTTCCATTCTTTCTTATTTAATAGTGGTCGATGATCCACTGTGTCGCCAAACATTGCCTGCCACCTTAACATTCAAAAATGCTTAAACATTTTGTATCAGGCCACTTCCAAATTTTTTTTGGCAAAATGATACTTTTATAATTCCCTTTAGAATATATGGTTGATGATCCAAACCACACTAATTTGATGAATTATAACAAAGATTCAGAAAATAAATAAAAGATTCAAAGTAAAGAATGTTAGTCTTTAAAATTGGATATCTAAACATAACATTCCTTTCAAAAAGTCAGTAAGTCTCGATGTCCAACTAACCCCCTTTCCAAAATTTATAATTTCCGGTTTAACAAAACGGTAATTGAAAGCGAAACTCAGTCGGAATCGATTCAGTTAAATCAGGAGTATCGATTGTCATCAATTGTCACACGATTACAAGTTGTAAAGTGTCAAAGCCAAGAATATGAAAACAACGAGATGCCAATTAGTATTGGTGGTCATTTTGGTTCTGTGAAAGAGTTAAAATATCCGTTATGGGTTGAGCAACTGTTAGTGAAATCACCTCATTGAAAACGAATTCTACCATAATTTATCAAGTGAGATATATAACGGCTTGGATAAATGGCATGATACTGCTTACGAACGGAAATGTGATAATTTGAAATATGTGTCTAAGATCCTTGTTTTCAGTTGTTAAGCAAAACAATTTCTTGTTTTAAGAAGATGTATGTATAACTTATGTCCTTGATATGGTAACAGGACAAAGTCGCCCAGCAGTGAGAAAGAGTAAGTGCTAATTGTCCATCCATTGAAAAAACATTATTATTGGACAATTATTAATTCTGTATCGAATATATTTTTCATCTGTTTCCCAGTTCTTAAGTTTGCATTCTATTGGTTAATATAAAAAATAATTGTAATTCCATGATATATATAAGCGACGAAGAAGGAGTTGTTCTTTCAAGATTTATTGACAAAAGCTGACGGAAAAAATAAAGACAGACGGACAATGAGAAAAAAAGCTTTCTACATGTCCGCAAAACATATGTATATACTATATTCATTTTTCATATCAGTTTTACTTACCTTTGTGAATTCATTAAAACATTGACTTTGAACAAACTGGATTTTCCATCCATGATTAGGAAAAAGAAAAAGATAAGGGGAAAACGAAAGCCGAAGTCGATGATTGGCAGGAAACGCTTTAAACAAAAGCAGACAGAAAAACAACAGTTAATAAACATTTCACAGAAAACAGAAGCTTGAGCAAAACAAACATAAACAAACTTCGATGACATCATGTGCTATGAAAAGGTAAGCAAATCCTGCTTCATTAGAGACTGATGTAGCTTAACATTCGATGTTAATATATATTATTCTTTAGTCATGATTTTTAGAATATAAAATTGCTTCCTATTCGCTAGTTAATATGACGTGACTTGGATTTGTGATTAAAAGAACCGTCAAAGATGCCCAGGTTTATAATTTTGTGCGCTATACGCACGTTTCGTTTGCATAGGATTCGTCGGTGGCAAAAGAATCGAAACAGTTCGAAGGACAAATCAATTTTGAAATTGAGAAGCACTTGAAAACAAAAGTTCCAAAAAATTTGCTAAATACGACTATGTCCATCTATGCCTGGGGGTAAAAAATCTTGGTGTTTCGAATAATTAAACATTTTATAAACAGTCACCTTACAGAAAATTGCCGTATCAACGATATTTCATGTCACAACGACTACTGGGCTGGTGATACCCTCAGGGAAGAGACAACACAGTGGCAGTAAAATCTAATAAAAAAAAACAGGCTTATAGTTTTGTACGCCAGACAAGTGTTTCTTGTACATAAGACTCAGCATTGGCGTTCGAATAAAAATCTATTGGAATGCAAAATCAAAGACGAAGTTGAAGTCCTTTGAAATCCGAAAATTTTCAAAAAAAGGTGCCAAATACGCCTCAGGCTATCTTTGCCATGGGGTAGGAAAATTTAAGTGTTTCGAATAATTCAACATTTATAAACAGAAAATATACAGAAAATGCCCATATTAATGATATTTCATGTCGACTGCTTGGCTGCTGATAGAATCAGGGACGAAACGTCTACAGCACCATCGACTTAGCTGTTATAAAAAGCGAAAGGTGCAAACAGTGTTATTTGAATATTCCTACCATGCCCGAGAATTAAAGCAATATCATTATGTCGGCTTTGTTGATTAAAACAAAGGACTATTATGTGCTTGCAAGCGCAAATAACTGATTTAAATTTGGCTATTAATCATTTGACAGTAAAAACATGATTTCAAAATAAATTAAGTTGGAGTTTAAAAGCATATTTTCACTCGTCTTCCCGGCCTTTTGGACCTTTAAGACGCCTCCTACAAACACTGAACATTTATTTCTTCGTGATACTAAAATAATCTATGTGTTATCTTATACAAAGATAAGGAGACATGATATGATTTCCATGCACTGAGATAACTATCCACCACAAACCAAAAGACAAAGATGTAAATTATTATAGAGCAATGTACAGCCTTCGACAATGAGCAAAACAAATACCGTATATTGAGCTATTAAAGGACACGGCATGACAAAAATTAAACAAAGAGAAACGCGTTTAAAGAAAAATATTATATTATGGAACAATAAATACTGGTCCTCAAGAAATATTTCGCTTTTACATAATCATTATCATATTTGAGGAATTAAAAAATGATTTTGGTGTAGATTGCGTGATTAACATTAAGGTGTCAATTTGGTATTCTATTTTATAAGGCTGATTATGATTTGGAAGCATTTTATCATTCAACGGACAAAAACATTTGTGTTTATTTTTTTACAAAAATAGGAATGTTTATTTTTTAACTTTTACTAGTACCTTGATTTAACAGATATTACACCGCACGACTTGCTGACTGCAGGGCAAAACGAATAGTACAGATAATAAGCTTTCGAATGGTATATAATATAGCTGTAAGTTAGATGGGTGCAATACATTCCTTGAATAAGAGTCTTTTTGAAAACTGTCACTCGCCAATTAAGTTATCATGGAACTAACCATTTAAGAAATAATTCATGGAAGCCATAGATTTGTTGGAAATTTACACATGGCCCAGGCCATGTGTAAATTTTCAACAAATCTATGGTTTCCATAAATTATTTCGATTCTAATAGAGACAAATACGGTCATTAAAATACTGAAGCGAGGGTGGGTATGCCGTGTGTATGGCTGTTCTGTTTTACCCACTGTTAGATAAATGTTAAAAAAATCTAATAAATCTGTAGCTTGCATGAATCATTTCTTAAATAACCGCTAGAAAAAATATGGTTGATTCTTTTCATTCTCAAACCCAACATTTGCCTTTTTTAATTTACATTTTTTTCTCGTAAGCTACCGTCAAATTCACTGTTGACATTTTGTAACCAAGGAGCCGCCATGTTGACTTGCTGAAATCAGTAAATGTGCCAATAATGCAATAGAATAGAAAAAAAAGCAATATCTACCACAAAACTTTATTTAAATGCAATATTATCCGAGTTTAGAAAGTAAACGCAGTGGGAAAACCTTCAGCTTTGGCATTTTCATTCGTATGACGTCATGTTTTAAAACGACGTTAATGCTCCAAAAACATTAATGGAATTTCGCGGAATTTTAATTTATTTTGATTTTGTACATTTTTCCGATCTCTAATGCATTAATTCTTTTTGTTATGCCTCAGAATAAGAATAAAGGTTCTGTAGGGTTTTTCAATTGTATTTTTTAACACAGCGAAATCGACAAAGCGTTTGCACATAGGTTACGATACATGTGGATTTACGTGGGAGGTATATTTTAACAGCCATTATTATGTACATACTAAGTATAGATATATCGAGAATTTTATCACAGTGTTGTTTACAAAGCGAAAGAAGCACGTCATATTAGAATATACATTCTGTCCCGTTTCAAATTAAAAGCGGCCAACACTGACACACATAATGTAATTATATAAGGCCAAATATATATATATATATAACAAGAAATATGCAAGCACATCAATACTCATTATAATTAAGTTAATATGTGAAAATAAAGAAAAAGAATACTAGTACTTTGCTGAAATGTTGTCAATATTTTGATATTATAATAATACCACAAAAAGTGTAGTGTATCGAGCATGTAATCAAGCAAAAAGCTGATCAAAATAAAAAAAAAAACAGTAATAAGTAGAACACTATAATTTGGAAAGACAACTAAATGATTGAAATTTAAAATAAAATGAGGAGATAGCTTCTCTGATATAATGTTTTGATGAAAAAAAAAATAAAAATTGTGTTTAGCGGAATCCGGTGTTCGGCTTGAAGCTGCAGCTCAATTGTCAATTCAAAATCGAAATGTTCTCTAAAATATAAGAAGATGAGGATTGATTGCTTAAGAGAATTCTCTCCATCAGAGACCAAATGACGTAGAATTTAGCAATTATAGGTCATCGTTCAACAATGAGACATGACAAATATAATTTTAAACAATTCAGATGAGTAAATTAACGATTCCCTGACACGATACTTTGTTACCTTTGTTTGGGGTCTGTGTTGCTAGCATTTCGCTGCGTATTCTAAACAGTTTGCTGTAACAAATTTCTGTCATTTTTTTAGTTTTTAAAAAAACACGACGTAAATCTCTGTCAATCAGATTTAAACTGTAAAAATCTGTCAGAGATCAAATGTGCGAATGCTTGGGCGTTTTCTGGAACATTGCGTTGGAATTCATCTCTGATTTAAATATCAACCACGGATTCCTTCAATTTTTCATACTGTTTACTAACAAACTCTGGAAGTGGTGGATCGGCAAAATTTAGAGGTGGTAGTAAAGCTGGCATCGTGGTTGGAATATCTTACCTTAGCTGTATTTGGCAAAACTTTTAGGAAATTTTGGTCCTGAATGCTCTTCAACTTCGTACTTTATTTGGCCTTTTTAACTTTGTTTGATTCGAGCCTCACTGATGAGTCTGTTGTAGACGAAACGCGCGTCTGGCGCAAATACACAATTTCAATCCTGGTATCTATGATGAGTTTATATTCAATCTTTTTGGTGATTTGCGAAGCGGCTTCTTTTGCACCTCAACCGCAGGTTTAAACACTTTACTGAAGTCTTTAGTGAGATAATCCAATCTTGTATATTCTTAGTTGATAGTTCCTTCCTGGGATTGCTTGCTTGGCATCAAGCATTTCCTTAGGAAGTGCATCACGTTGATTAGGATCTTAAATCTTAGTAATTGTCATTTATTTATAGTGGTGAACGCTGTAAAAAGTGTTGAATGCAGGTGAATAGTGTTGAACGCAGTTGAATAGAGTTGAATGCTGTTGATCAGTGTTGAAAAATGTTGAATGCTATTGAACAGTGCTGAATAGTATAATCCAGTGTCTAGACTTTGAATATGAAACAAGATCTCAAGAATATCCCTTTTTTACTTCTTTCCCCCTTTTTTAATAATATCCATAATGATAATTATTATTCAATAATTCATCATTATATCTGTTGATCATTCTTTCGGCACAGCACTCAATACATATTTCTACATTTTTCTCATATCGTTCAAAGTCATGCACATTCTCTGAATCAGAGTCTGAATTTAAACTATGATTAAAATCAACGAAAAACATTTTTGTAGTTCTCTATTTATTTCATATTTTGTAGAACTCATCTAATTTGCATATATACTTTCCATTGGATTTTGGCTGGTGAGGTCAATGTTGACAACCCCGTGTGTTCGGACCAACATAGATTGAACAGCCAAATGTTCTCTGTGTAGTCTTTTCACTATAAGAAATTTCTTTCACGTCCATTTATTTTTAATTTAATGATAATCTTTTGTACGAAATGTTGGAACAAAAATTAACACAGTGAACATTTAGAAAACCACGATCAGCATTGGTCGACTTCGAGAGAGTTGGATATGCTCCGTGTATTGGTTGAACAAAATCTCAATTTGTCGCCGTTAATGCCCAAAATATCGTGAGCCTAAACCAATCAATCAAAATACTTGTGGATTCAGTCGAGGATTATGCTAGGCAATGGGCTAAGCACAAAAAGAAGACGGAGATGCAATTTCCCCCCAATGCAATTATCCATTTCCTTTAACATGAGATAGTTATTTGGTTTGTAGCTATCATATCCTTTCACATACTGATGTTAGCTTTTGCATACTTTTGTGGAACAACGATAAGTCCACCTCTAATTCCTTTCTCAATCATGAACAGCATGTCTAGTTCTGTCAGGTAATTTAGATTGACAACGGTAACTTTCAGTGCCACATCGTAGGCCGAAACGTGGGCTGTGTTGTACCAGGCCGGTTCGGGTTCATAGTTCTTTAGACATAGGTTCATAAATAACATCCGTTTTCAAATATAGGTCATAGCATTCTCCTGGCATCCTCGCATTTCGGTCGCCTCTGCAACTTCTTTTTTTCTGCAGTGAAAGTGAGCCTTTTCTTTTTCATATTTATTGCAAACCATCTTTTCAAAAATACAATGCAGAATAACATTTACTTTAGCCCTTTTTGTTCACCTCATTGGTACTTACCATCCTCTTCATTGTTTCTCCTGGGTTTTGATTCCACCTTTTAATATATCCTTCGTGTTCAATCTTCTTACCCCCTTCATTCCCTGTTCCAGAAGCATATTTTGAAGTACCCTATAAGTTTGTTCATTTTCCGTCAGTTTAATATAGGTTTTGGATTGGATTAGTTCAATTATCTGAGGTTTTCTCCTGTTTGAATATTTTAAAGCTTTGGATCCCTAACAATATCTTTTAACTGTTCTACCTATTCAACAATCAACATCATTTTATTGTATGTATTTATTTTTTTGATATATTTTTTCTAATTCGTTTTTTTTCGAATCCAATTTTATTGAATTAGAATTTTAAAAAAAAGTTTCAAATTTATTTCTACCAACCCCCCGATGTCAGTTTCTTATCTATGTGTAGGTAAAATAACGTGTTTGATTTTTTTAGAATTTGTTAAACAATTACTTTTAACATATATTCCCCCCAATTTGCTTTTCTAAATTTTGTCCAGTGCAAGCCTATACTTTTTTTAGGTCACCATCTCTTTTTCTAAGAATTGAAATTTGACTTTCCCCAAAATTTCCCGTTCACTTCTGTAATTTCTATAATTTTAAATATCGCATTAGCTGGTAAATTTTTTTCATTTCATATTTTGTTGAGAAGCCTTTTCATTAAACTGATCTATACTGATATAATCTTTTTTCATTTTCCTTGTATTTATTGATGTCATGTCTTTACTGTATCCCTCTTTAGAAAAACATTACCATCCGCCTTCCAGGCCGATGTTTTTAATTCAAACTGGAAATTCAAGGTACGGCAGAACTTTCAACTTTATAATTATAAAAAGAATATATTTCAAAATCTGTTCTTCCAAATTTTTTTTTCCAATTTTTGTTTTAATTTTTTTTCTCAAAATTTTTTTTTTTCTTTCAAATTTTATATATATAATTTTTCTACTACTTGTCTTTCCAAAAGCAACTGTCATGTAGGTATCGTAATGATGTAATGTGAAAGAGAGGCGGAAAATCCAGAAGGGATATTCAAACTCATAAGTCGAATACAAACTGACAACACTGTCGCAAAAAAGGAAAAGCAACCAAAAGACAAACATCAGTATACAAAACACAACATAGAAAACTAAAGACTGAGCAACACGAACCCCACTAAAATTATGTGTAACCTAGAGCTATTATAGCAACGTGTCACGTCTATTATGGCTACTGGTTTCATGAATCAATACACATATTCTGGAAACAATTTTGGCGAAGTAGAAATCTGATTTAGACATTTAATCTGAAGGACATAATATGTAGTATTTTACATTAGTATTTTACGTTCATATTCGTAGATATGGAGATTTTTAACGCATAAATGAAAGTTGATAAACAAATTTATCCCCGGTCTTAGTCCAATTCAGGCATTTTTAAGGAAAGGTAACGTTAAAGAAACATCCTTTCAACGGAGCGTAGAACCCTGAAGGTGGTCAAATATTAGACAACATTTCATGAAGAATAAGAGAAATTAGAATAAACCAAATTTGGCGACCAACGTCTCAAACGGCACGACATGGTCAACATTGGTCATTTCCATAACTAGGTCCCATTAATGGACGGCAAAGCCAAGCAAAGTTAGCAGCTTGTCATGCGTGCCAGTAACCAATCGAAATCCGAGAAATTTACTAGGCCGTGGATAAGATAATATAGGATACATAAGTTGTTCTAATCTTATATTGTAGGGTCAGTGACGCAAGTAGTACGTTCATAAAGACACATTAAAATGATAAACAGCTACATGGTCGATAAAGTGATAAACTGATGGATTGCTGAAATGACACTTACAATAATTTTCGTATAAAAACTATGATAACACAAACAGTGTCTTGATTAAACTTAATGATTAACTAAGTCTCTCCATTGCGCAATCTTTAATTTTCTGTCTTGCATTTTGTGTATTGTTGGTTATCAGTTCGTCCTATTTCTTTTGTTTCCTGTATATATTCAAGGTAAGGACGTTTTTGGCCACATTATCTTCTGACTTTTTGGCCGCAATAGTAAAAGGATTTTAAATTTTTGATTGATCATAACAATTGCATGTAATTCTCGTTTTTCAGACAGTCGGAATATGGTACTTGTCTTCATCTGCCTAATTATTTTCTGTCTGGTTGTTATGATTATAGGTAAGTGCAAAAGTTGAAGGAAAATAAAAACGACCGAAGAGTCAGTGATAGTAAACTTAATGTAGTTTTAAAAGGTGTAAGAAATGCAGCATGGGATGACGATGCCAGTATTATTTATTGTGATCAAAACATGGAGAAAAACAGAAAAATGTAAAACGTAAATAACTCTCAGAAAAATTAGAAGCGAATTCCTTTAACTACCTTTATCAGGATTGCTCAAACCCAAAAATTTGAAAACAAAGCGCGTACAAAAAATAGAGACTTGAGCCGCTATATGACCGAAAGCAACACCCACATCACACAAAGGTCAACTTTGCTTGAGGGAGTTTTTAACCTTGTTTTTTTAAATCTCTAAAATCCGCGGATTTAAGGAAGGTATGGTATTATTATTGTCAGAACCGAAGCACTGACTTCTGAGCTGATGATACCTTTGGAATATAAAAAGTTCTTTGTGATCATCAGTGCCATAAACATGTAGAGACAGAGAGGCGAATGGTATTCAAACTCATAAGTCGAAAACAAACTGACAATGCCATGGCATTATGTATCCTCCTTCCAACTCCGTTAAAACAACTGACAATGCCATGGCATAATGTATCCGCATTCCAACTCCGTTAAAACAACTGACCGAATTTTGCATATGTACATATAAGTGAAAGGAGGATGCATAATAGGACATCTTTTTGGTCCCTTGAATTTGAAAATCAAATGTGTTATTATTCTGTAAAAAATGTACTGCAGATTTCCACAGGACTTCTGATTCCCGCCTCCCTTAGACTATGTAGTCATACTTCAACTCTGGATCCTGGTTTTGATTGCTGATAACATATATGTTAATGATTTGGAAAAGATTTCGTGACGCATTTGACCAACCCAGCAAAATGACTTGTTTATAAGGACACTTACATGTGTGGAATTTGGGAATTCAGTACAAAGGAACACAGATAAGACCTATAATTTATGAGGAGTTCCTCTTGAATTAGTGTCGAGGGACTATATGTTGGTTTTCTAACTAAATGGTTGGTACTTAATTCGTTATAAAGCAGTTAAATAAACTTGATTTATAAAACAAAACGATATTGGAATTTGGTGGATGTGGGTTTAGTATGCAGGATAAAAAGATTTGTCATAGAAGAACGAGTGTTTGTCAACATTGAACGAAGGTTACTATTCAGCTTTCCGTATTGCATTTATGATTTGTTTTGATTTATTTTAAGTTTCGGTATTTTTTATGAAGAGTTCAGATTTTTGTATTATTTATTAAAGGGCTCATATTTGTCTACAGACAAAAACAGAAATTTGGTGCTGTCGAATTAGAAAAGGGTAACTATATATTATTCAAATAAGGCTGTTGCAACTGTTTTTTCCGACTTCGAACTCATATTGCAAGTCTTATACATTGGTCTGTTAAACAACTGCTGTAAAAGTCAGTCTTTCAAATCAAAAGTTTCAATTTTACACTTTTTGTAATGAAAAGAAATATTTGTCAAATATTCAGAAAACTCCGCCTTTTATTTAAAAGTAATAGATCAACTTTGAGATCATTATACTCTTTTCAAGTTAAAAATTTAGTTTGTTTTAAAACGAACATTTATGTCTAGAATTATTTACATTACTGTTTTATTGACACCTTAATGTCTTTTTGTGCTACATTATCATTGTTTAACGCTACTTCATGTATTCTGTGTGATTAGGGAAGATGAAAGTATTTATTTATTTTTAATTTTGCATACCATGTTCTGAATGTTTTAAAGGCCAAAACTGTCGTCCTTTGTTAAATATCGTTCTTTTTAAGATATATGATGTTAGCAACTATGTTAAGAAAACAATAGTTTGTCATTAAAAGATTACGAAGATACAAATCAAGGTACAAACAAACAATGATGGAATCGTATGAACTCCAAAAGAAGCGAAACTGTGTACATTCATAGGTAAGCGTATCCTGCTATGCATCATAAGTCATGCGAATCTAGACTCACAACAGTCTATATAACAGTAGTACAAATCCATCAAGCTTTTTATTATAAAAAAAAAAAAAACACACAAAAAGGCATTTATCCTGCCTCCCGTCTCTTGTAATGATTTTATTTAATGTTGATGATTCTGGCTTGATTGTTTAATTGTCAATTGAGTTTCGAAAAATAAACTTTTCTTTATTATATTTAAAATAAATCATATACTTCTGCAGAACCTGATAAAGTTAATGAAACTTTGTGCATAAATATAAAAAGACAACAAACCAATACCACAGAATGTAATACGGAGAAACGGTACCTAGAAGGTAATTTTTGTCTCACTTTTGTCAATTTAGTCCAAAGCAGGGTTTAATTCATCTCGTCCTGAATATGCATTTTATTTGCCACTGGACGTAAAACAGCCATTCATCGTGATCATCATCAAAATGACTGAATACCTAGGCCATCTATTTCCAGTGCACATATATGGTTAATTGTCTAATTTCCGCCTGCAATTTCCTGATTTTGTTATTTCAGTAACATTAGGTTAGTTTCTTAGTAACCTATGTGTCCTAGGTAAACTAAATTTTTTGTAGAGAATAAATTACACGTGGGTCTGATAGGCATAACCTTACTTTGTCTAAAGTAACCCAGAGAAAAATGATTGAACTCAATAGTATATAATATCCAGTACGGTAACGGACCACCTACAGGCAGAGAAAAAGTATGATTTCTGTTATTTTTTTTTTTGTAATTTAAATGAAATTATATATTATTGATACACATATTACTATTTTCAATTGTGAAAAGTAATATTTTCTGCAATCGGTGTAGATTAATGGAGAATGCACGTCAAAATGATGACTAGAGTGAATCTTGCCTCTAATTGTTTAATTTCTTATTAAATTGTGCGCCTTAAAAGGAAAGAAACGTGCGTAAAGATAGATATATACATGGAGATTGCAAGACAAATCACTTTGAGCACTTCAGTTTTTGTATTTTCATACACGAATGCAGAAGTAAGTAAAAATGCACGGCAATAAGAATTATATCGACCATGTACTTCGTCCTCAGTCGATATACTTCTCTCAAGTAGATATATTCTCGAATTGACCTCGAGCAAAGGCTAAAATTGCATAATGATATTAACAATATGAAACAGGTTTAAGGGGAGGGATGGAATCCCACTAACAAGTTTAACTCCGCGACATTCTGTATGTGCCTGTCCGTAATCAGCAGTCTTTAATTCAGTGGTTTCGTTTGTTTCTGTATATTATATCAGTTTTTCGTTTATTGATTTTGAACATAAATCAGGCCATTAAAATAAATATAAGAACATGTGGCATGATTGCCTATGAGACAACTCTCCACTACAGACCAAATGACGTCAAAGTTTACAATTATAGGTCAGCGTACGGCCTTCAATAATGAACAAACCCCATACCGCATAGTAAGTTAAAAACAAAAAAGCCCCGAAATGACAAATGTAAAACAATTCAAACGAGATGACTAACGGTCTGATTTATATTTTCTTGTTTGAATTGTTTTACCTTTGTCATTTCGGTGCCTGTTATAGCTTGTTGTATGGATATTGGTTTTTTTCTCATTGTTGAAGACCGTATAGTGGCCTATAATTGCTTACTCTACATCATTTTTGTCTCTGGTGAAGAGTTTTCACATTGGCAATCATACCACATTTTCTTATTTCTATATTGACCAACGTATTTAAAATGTAAAAGAATTGGCAATGCACCATAATCATTACACAATAGAGAGATACAAGAACCTTTATTCATAAAAGGTTAACCGTTTCATTTTCTAGAGGGGTTTGGACTTGTATTCTAGCTTATACTTAGTAGAATATTCCCAGGCAAGGGTATGATGATTTTTCAACGCATGATCATTGTGATCATTTGCTCCGCATGAACAATCCTTTTAATAGCAATTCAGCATGCGTATGTATTTATCTGAACTATCCTGTTGTCGAAGAAAATCAAATATGGAATGAGAGTCCTCCATTTTTCAAGGCTATACACTATCCAAGTTTTACAGTATCATATCGAAAAACGAATAGAGAGTTTAGAGCATCAAATTGCATTGCAAGTAAATTATGTAAAATGTAGTGTTCAGACTTGTTTAGTGAACAGCCTCCAAAATTGAAGGAAGCATATTCGATATGTGATTTTCTTGGACAACCGGATGGTTATCTAAGTAAATATTCCACTCTACCTGGTGGGATCTTTCCTATGGTTGTTTGAAAATAAATATCATGAGCATAAAATGTTGAACATGATAAAGCAAATGAATAAGTTAAAAAATGGAGAATGGAAATGGGGAATGTGTCAAAGAGACAACAACTCTACCAAAGAGCAGAAAACAGCCCAAGGCTCTTTGGTCGGGTTGTTGTCTCTTTGACACATTCCCCGTTTCCATTCTCAATTTTATTTAACATTTGGCAAAAACGAGTCCTTCCACTTTGAAGTGACCCATTTCTTTCGTTTCGCGCATAAAAATAAAAATAGTGATGTGCTCAAATTGATTCGTCTTGCAATCGTCATGTATATATCTATAATGTTAAGCGCACCATTTAATTAGAAATTAAACAATTCGAGGCAAGATTCATTCTATTCATCATTTTGTCGTGCATTTTTAAACTTATTTCTCCATTAATCTAGAACGATTGTAGAAAATATTACATCTCATAATCGAAAATAGTTATATGTGTATTTATATCCTAAAAGTTCATACAAATAATAAATATATAAACAGAAATCCTATCTTTTCTCTGTCTGTATGTGGTCCGTTGCAGGACCGAATATTAGATACTATCGAGTCCAAACATTTTTTGCCGGGTTACTTTAGACACAGTGATAGGTGTTCCGTCACCTAACCTTGCATTGTTCAACGACCAGCACTTTTTTGTTCAACTAGTCAATAGAGCAATCAGTAATTACAAGTAATTAATCAACTATGTTAATCCTGTAAAATAGATGAAATGTGTGCGACTCCATCCAACAGGAGTCAATTTACCATTTACAAGTATATGTAATATGTCAAATATATATTTGTTAAATAGAATAGACGAAGAGAAACAGAAATTGTGCGGGTCAAAAGAAAAACGACAAAAAGATACTACAGAGATATAAAATTCTATTACTTTTTAGGTTTTTTACAAAAAGTTTATGGTATTGGACACCTAAAAATTTGATTGGCGATTAATGTAATAATTTCAGTTATCTATCTTTTTTTTTTCTCATGTTTACTAGTAACATACTATTTGCCGCAAACTAAAGCATTCTCTCTTCATAAAATACAGTTTTTTCATGATTAGGCGATTTAAATAACAGAAGTATACACTTGACCTAAAATCTACTCTAGCAATGAGGGAGAAAGACTGAAATTGTCACTTCACAATTAAATTATATGAGCTTACCCTAAGATGTGTTGTTCGTCACAGTTTTTCGATCTCTTAATTCATCTGTGATATTTGAATATGTTATAGGTTAAACATGTCCAGTATGTCTGACATTTTTACTGGTTTGTCATGTTTTTGGTTTTGACACTAAATACTTGTGTCTTTGGTGTGTGACTTATGATGAATTGTTAAGCTACCCCATCGACGCACTTAAAATCACTTCACTCAGAGTAAATTATTCATTCATTTTTACTCGCGGATCTAGTTTGAACTTTGACTAAGGAGAGCGACCAACAGTACTCAGCGATATACCACTTTTATATTTAGGTTAGGTTCTCAATTTCTATAAATAATAGGTAAACTACATTTGTACTAAAGAATGTTTGATAATGTGCATGTCCGTAAGACAGGATTAAAAATCGACATTCGGTTGCTATGGGTAACAGGTAAACTTATTCAATTCACTGAATCACTTTTCGGTGTGCATGTCTGTCTAATATGGGTCATGTGACCGTGCTTTAATGGTCAGTAGATCAACTCGAACGTCTTACATGTATTAAGAATGGTATCTTATAGCTTTGGACATTTCATTTATTTATAATCAATTAAACCAAATGAAAAGTTAATATTCTTGATGATATACAAAATTAGGTATTGCCTACTTTGAAACGATATTTACATAGAAAACTTATTGACAATATTTGTTTAAAGAAATAATGATACATGAAAACAATTATGTTTTTTGTAGATGGACTTTTTTAGATATTGTATAAATTGTCAATTTTCTTCCGTTTTGATGGTAGTGGTAACGGTTAGTCAATGGAAATGTACATACTGCAAATCTAGTATGAGCTGCTATGAACCGAGTTCTTCATCTCATAGTATATACCTGTCAATTTACTATCCAATTTAGCACGTATTTGCAACTCGAGTAAAAAATTAATTGTTCTACTGATAGTTTATTTTTGGTATCGTCCGTTTATGAATTTATAAATCATTAAGAAACTAAGGTTTTTATACCCTCACGCAAAGTTGACATAAGATGTATTTGGCTTTTATTTTTATGTTGTTTTTGGTCATATAGCTCTTCAACTGCTTCGGTTCTTATACATCATTGGCTTTCAAATATTCGGATTCGAGCGTTCCTAATGAATTTAAATCCAGAAACGCCCTGAAAAGAAAAAAAGTGTTGTTTTCAATTTTAACAGCACTGGGTACTGACATGATTTATAACAAATCTTTCTTAAATTGTTCGTTTATAAATTTATAAATTTATTTTTGTTCTTCATCATGGGTTGATAGGCATTTATATATATTCATCTATAGTGGCACATAATTAAGAAAGCGAGATAAATAGGCATAATCAAGCAAATGAAAGGAAAGACAAAAAAAATAATAATACGATCCGAAATAACAGAATAAAATATATGGACGAAGTATAACATTTTCATTAATATAACTATAATTGTAATTACAGCTCAAGCACATTTATACGTTAATAATTCATCGTTAATATCTAATCAGTGACTTTAACCCAGGCAAAGTTGACCTTAGATGGATTTAGCTATTACTTTTAGGTTCTTTTTGGTCATATAGCACTTTAACTGTTTCTGTTCTCATATATTCTTGGCTTTTAAATATTCGGCTTAGATCGTTCCTGATGAAGGTAGATCCAGAAAAGCGCGTCGGACGCATGAAATCTATCAAGTTGTTTTTTTTGGTTTTTTTTTAATTTTTTATATTTGGTTGACTATTTTCATAACAATTGTTTGTAAAACGGGAGTTCATTAATTAGTTTAATTTTATGAAAGCCTACTCACTAGTGTTCAATTTGGAACATTGAGTTACCAGTCCTTGTGTTTATAAATGAGGCAAACACGAATAAGGAACTTAACAGTTTATATGTCAATCAAGCATAAAAATTGATGATTTTAAAAAGCAATTCACTCCAAAAAGAAAAGATGGCAGTTGCTGGTGTAAGTATGTACATTGAGATAAATATGTGTCTGTTTCTTTACATGATTAGATGAAAAAATAAATTGTCAAAAAACAGGCATATATATTTTAGAGGTGGTGGGCGTTCTACATGTTTTTAAAAAATTATCAATTTCACAGTAAAACTAAAGCTATGTTAATTTAGAAAAAAATATAGCTCTACATGGCCCATAGTATAGCGGATAGGCATTACAAAAGGAACTATCAATATTATTTCTATTTCTCTTCACAAGGTTTCATAGTACATACTTTTTTGTGTACAAAGTAACTTGATGGATGATTGATAACCACAATAAGAAGATTGGATTGTAATCTGATCAAGGAATTAAGAACCATATTATTATTCTTTATAAAATGAAAGTAACCTGTCCTTTAAAGATATTTTCAAATCATGGATTTTAAAAGTAGGGTATAACATTATATGTTTCAGAGTTAAGTGTGACGTCCATTTTCACTGAACTAGTACATCTTTTGGTTTAGGGGCCATCTGAAGCCCGCCTCCGTTTGCGGGATTTTCTCGCTGTGTTGAAGACCCATTGGTGGCCTTTGGTTTTTTCTGCTCTTTGGTCGGGTTGTTGTCTCTTTGACACATTCCCCATTTCCATTCTCAATGTTATACTGTATAAAAGATATGTTGAAAACTAGAAACATACACTTCTTTAATTTGGGACAACACAAAATGTTAATCCAAAATAGCTAGTGGCAATTTTTGTCCATAATATCTTGATTACAATAAAATAAATTTTACCCTTCTGATTATTCATGCAAAATTTCTACTTTAAGTATGAAACCCATTCTTTCAAAATGAACAAAGATACAAGGAATTTTATTTGTGATGTGAAATAATTTGTCATTTCACACAATTTGATCTTTGATTGTTTGTTTTTTTCAGTTGAAGGTATAATACGAATTAAAGTTGAATCGGCACAATTGAGATGTCATTTACATGGGGAAAATTTGAAATCAGATGATTGCAAGAAAGAGCCACGAATTTTAGACATGTGTTTTATTAAGAAACGGAAACAACTGTATCTTTTATACATTGATGCTGACAACATTGAAAATAGTATTGTCACTCGGCAGATAAGAGGTGACAAGTCCCCACAGGACTCATGCAGGAATATTTCTCTTGTAAAGCATCCAAATAGATTAGCAAAATTAGGTGATGACGTAATTGCCTTGATATACAAGGATGATTTTAATATTCTTACATTTAAATTTATTTTTGATGAAATGAAGTTAGAAGATGGACCTTCATATAACCTGAATAAAAAACAAAAATCAATTATAGGTGAAAAAGGAATTCAAGGAATAGCCGGTATATCAGAAAAACTTTTTATTTTATCTAACAGATCCGAATTATTTCAATTTAAGATACACGAGGGCAATGTAGAAATGACAAATCTTTCAATTAAAGACCCTTTTGATACAGCTCGCCGTCTATCCGTAACGACTGGAACAGATACACGTGTGTTTATTGCAGATGAAAATGATAAAAAAATTGTATGTATTGACAGTGAAGGTGTTATCAAGGGTACAAGAAAGAGTCACGATCGTGCTCTCCAAAACGTTCGAAGCATTGCATCGACAGATGACAAATTGTTCGCTGCAACTAGTGAGGGTGTGTGTGTATTTAATCATACGAAAGGGAAATTTGAAAACACCGATAAAAATGAGAAAGATCCATATAGATACAGTCCTATTCTAGTGGAATACTTGAAACATGTAAGTCATGCCAGATCTTTATGCCTTGAAGTATTTGAAAACGAAATATATCTTGGATTATCATTTGTTATTGATAGAAAAGATCATATAATAGTTTTTAGTGTTGATAAAAGTAATATTTCAAATTTTAATTCAATATCGAAATAATATTTTTGTTGCCTTAAGTGAGATTTGTACAATTTAATCTTTCTCTTAAATATATGTTGTTGTACAAAGAAATGTCATGCTGTTATGTCTGTTATAAAAAGGAAGTGTTCAGAATAGACTGTTGAATTCCATATATACAATAATTTACTCCACTATCTTTGATAAAATACACTACTTTTAATATGTAAAATGTGAATAAACCATTCCCCTCCACTTTAAAAAAAAAAGGGTAAACACAAAAAAAGAAGAAAACAGATAAATCAACAAAAAAAGGAACCCATACTAAATAACATGCTCTTATCTTTTATTATATTTGTTCCATCGCTGCAAACGTGTTAATAATTCGAATGGCTAACGGTGAAATGTGCGGTACTAGTATAAAGACGAAAAAAATTAAAACATGCTTTATACCACCACTGGGTCGATACCTCTGCTGGTGGACTGTATGTTTCCAAGGTAACAGCAGCCCAATAGCCAATACTGGCATGAAAATACGAATTTGGTTTTAATGAAATTTGCTGCTGTAAAATTTGGGAACTATTCCAAATTAAGGAATGTGTCTCCCTCATGCAAAGCTTTAATTCCTAATATTTTTCCTAATATCGATATGAGTTATGACCTTTTTGGTTTTATGAGCTCTGCAACGTTTGTTTTAGGTTTTGGATGTTTAAATATTTTAGACTCGAGCATCACTGAATAGACATAAATTGTCGAAATGCGCCTCTGGTGGAGTATAATTGGAACTGTTTATGTTATTTATATCTGAGTAACGACAAAAAGTTAATTTGGTACCGTTCATGTTATTTATACCTGAGTAACGATAAAAAGTTAATTCGGTACCGTTTAATTTTCCTACCATTGTGTCGATATATCAGCTGGTAAACTGCTAGTCCCCAGGGAGTATCGCCAGCCTAGTAGCCAGAACTTAAGTACTGGCATGAAAATACGGATATTATTTTAATGAAACTTTCTGTTATAAACTTTTCGAAATTATTCTATATTAAGGAATACATCTTCCTCATGAAAACCTCTGATTCCTAAACTGAATTCGGATACATGTTAGGTAGGATCTTCTTGGTTTTATCAGCTCTTTAACATTCGCTTGATGTTTTGGATTTTCAATTATTTTGGACTTGAGAGCGTCACTGAAGAGACATAATTTGCGTATCTGGTGCAGTAAAAGTGGTACCGTTTAAGATATTACTACCATTGGGTCGATGCATCTGCTGGTCAACTGTTAGTCCCCAGGGGGTATCACCAGCCTAAAAGCCATTACTTCAATACTGGCATGAAAATACGTATATTGTTTTAATGAAATTTGCTGTTATAAACTTTTGAAAATTACGGAATATATCTCCCTCATGCAAACTTGATTCCTTATCTGAATTTGAACCCATGTTAGGTAGGCCCTTTTAAGTTTTATCAGCTGGGTAAATATGCACAATTCAGTTCAGATAGTCGGGAATGGTAGCCTTTTCCTCAATTACTCTGCCCATATCGTAAACTTGGAAATGTATGATGGCTCGTTTCGAAGCCGAGACATTTTCACAGATGTGGTTAAAATTTTCTGGGTACGAAGTGAAATTAGATTTTTCACAAATTGGACAACCCTGAAAGGCCCCACATTATGCCGCTTCAGCAGGTGAAAAGTCCCCAATTTCACACAGTGAAATTCTCTTGAATTTTCAGTTCTTTACAAACATTAAATAACTCCAAAGTTTTTACATCTTTATTGTATAGTCTTCTGCTCCTCAAAAAAGCACAAATGATTAAGTACAGTCAATTACTGAAAATAGCTTCATGTCCAATAGCATTGCATACAGTTTCTTTTATTTCTATCTATAGTTGAGTTTCTCACTCTGAGGCGCATTAGGGATTTTGACCAATATTGAAGATGTTAGTTCAGATGTTTACAAACATTCTTGTGCGATCCTCTTCTGTATGACTTTCTGAATAAAGCTGTGCATTTTTGTTCATTTCTGAAAAAAGGGTAGTTTCAGCACTTAAAGTCAATGAATCTAATATAGTCATCAATTTTGATTACAATGTGTAAGTATGATATATTGCTTCAAGTAAAGATTCACATGTCACAATATGGATGACAAATCAGATGAGAACTTTCAATTATAATACTAGTACTAGTATACAGACCCTGTTAATTTTTTGACATTTTTACCTATTATGTCTGTTTGTTTTGTTCACACATTGTTGTCAATATAATGGAATTTAATGCGACTGTCATACAAGTGAGTGCTTTAGTTAGCTATAAAACCAGGTTTAATCCACCATTTTCTACATAAGGAAATGCCTGTACCAAGTCAGGAATATGACAGTTGTTTTCCATTCGTTTGATTTGTTTGAGCTTTTAATTTTGCCATTTGATAAGGGACTTTCCGTTTTGAATTTTCCTTTGAGTTGGGTATTTTTGTTATTTTACTTTTCAAAGCATTTAGAAAAAAAATGTTTTAAAAGTGCATTTGAACTCAAAATATGCAAACAAGATTTAATACTAGTTACTACTGGAAATCTGATATTTCCAACCTTAGAATCCACTTTAAACGGATGTGAACATCATTCTTTTTATATAGTATTAAGGGCAATATATTACCAATTTTAAAATCTTGTGTTTTAATATAATTCCACCTTAAAATTAGGGTTTTTAATGTTCTTCAGTGTCAACACTTCATCAGTGAGAAATGCATAATTAGTTTTCAAATAAACATAATGACAACACAGATTTTTATGATGTTATGAAATAACTACTTTTTCAAATAAGGCTATGCACAGTTTTCGGTGTTACATAATGAACAGTTGCCTAAGAGTTTAATTTAAAAAGGTTGGACGAAATTAACAGAAACTAAGCATATGTATATAATATCAAGTCCATAGCAACAGTTTTCATACCTGCAAATTTTCACATCCTGACTTGTCCTTGACTGTAATGTCAATCACATAAATACCATCAATGTACAATCAATTAAGAGTTTGTTTGATAAAAATAATGCTTACCAGTACTTCATTTCTTTGTAAAACTTCTTATTAGCCATTCCAGCTTAAAACTGGGGTAGAACGTCGCAAACTGAAATAAGGCGAGAAAAATGATCCAGGTTGTGTTTTTAGTTCATGCAGCTTCAAACTGTAAACTTCATTAAAATTGACAAATTATTGACAGAATTATCACAAAAAAGAGGTTTTCTTCCCTTTGTTGGTTTGCAAACATTCAGTTCAACCCTAGTGGGTATAATAAACCACCTCCAGCCTAGCCTAAAAGGTTTCAGCACCTGTGTTTTAAAAATGTTTTAATCCTCCCTCTTTTCACTCGAGATGATATTATCTTGTGAATTTTTGTTTTGCATTGAAATAACAACAATCTCTTTATTATTTGAAATATATTTTACTGTTTTTTTGTTAGTTTAAGTGCCCAGCTTCTAATTACTGTTCGAAATTGTTCGTATAATTTATCATGATATTGTTAGATACTTGTGCAGAGTTATTTCCCTTGATTTCTGGGTTCTTCACATTCGTACTATAATAGCAAATTCGTGTGCTCTCTGTGTCAAATAAACTTACAATTTACCCTTTCCAAATGCTTGCATGAGAAATCAGGCTTGTTGTTTGAAGAAACCCATGCAATGTGCTTGAAAAGTTTTATATCAATAGGACTTAAACCCATGGTTCGTACCGTATTAAAAATAATTATATTAACTGCGGCTAATATTAATAAATAATGTTAGTGTGGAACAATTGGTGATACTTTGGTATTTATAAAAGTAAACAAACCTTTATTTTTTTTCTGAATTTGATCAGGTGAACGTTGATACATTCATCAAAGAAACAGACAGACACTTCCAAAAACCATAAATTGGGTAAAGATGCGCAATTCATTTCAGATACTAGTAGGCATTAATGGTAGCCTTTTCCTAAATTCCTCTGCCCATATCGTAAACTTGGATATGTAATGGCTCGTTTCGAAGCTGAGACATTTTCACAGATGTGGTTAAGTTTTCGGTGTACGAAGTGTGTTTAGATTTTTCACAAACAAGGCAACCCCGAAAGGCCCCATATGAGTCCGCTTCGGCAAGTGAAAGGTCCCAATATCACACATTTAAATTCTCTGGGAATTCAATTCTTTACAAACATTTAATAACTCAAAAATTTTTACGTCCTTATTGTACAGTCTTCTGCTCTCCAAAAAAGCACAAATGGTTAAGCTCAGTAAATTATTAAAAATAGCATTGCATACAGGTTTTGTAATTTCTATTTATAGTTGAGTATCTCACTACGAGGCGAATTGGGGATATTGACCCAGCTCTTCAACGTTCGCCCGATGTTTTGAATTTTCAATTATCAAATGTATTTTGGACTCGAGCGTTACTGAAGAGACATAATTTGCGTTTCTGGTGCAGTAAAATTGGTACCGTTTAAGTTATTACTACCACTGGGTCGATACCTCTGCTGGTGAACTGTTACTCCCCAGAGGGTATCGCCAGCCTATTAGCCAGAACTTCAATACTGGCATGAAAATACGGATATTGTTTTAATGAAACTTGCTGTTATAATTTTTTGGACATAGTTCTTAATTAAGGAATATATCTCTCTCATGAAGACCTCTGATTCCTTATCTGAAATTGAATAAATGTTAGGTAGGCCCTTTTTGGTTTTATCAGCTCTTCAACGTTCGCTCGATGTTTTGCATTTTCAATTATTTTGGACTTGAGCGCCAGTCACTGAAGAGACATAATTTTCGTTTCTGGTGCAGTAAAATTGGTACCGTTTAAGTTATTACTACCACTGGGTCGGTACCTCTGCTGGTAGACTGGTGGTCCCCAAGAATATCAACAGTAGGTGGCAAGTTTGTCAGTACTGGCATGAAAATACGGATTTTGTTTTAATGAAAATTTGTTGTTATTAAATTTTGGATACACTTTAGGCTCTTTTTTTGTTTCATCATGTCTTCAGCGTTTGATTAAAGGTTTGACTTTTTTTAATATTTTGGACAAGAGTATCACTGAAAGAGAGGCGAAGGATACCAATGAGACATTCAAACTCATAAGTCGAAAATAAACTGAAAA